ATGTGCTTGCTTGAAAAAAAATTAGACTTACCAGTAATTGTTTCTTTGTAGCATGTGAACGTATGTACTATGCCATACGGTTAGTAAATATTTGTTACTTTTGTCATGTAAGACTAAGAGTTGATGAAGTATACATGTAGGGCATGTAGATGTATTTAATCTTTGAGAAGACAGTATCATTTTATAATCTACCTTGTTAATTGTATGTCTGGGTCACTGCAGTTAAGTTCTTTCCTCACTCCTGACTGCCCACAGTTGTTAGGGCGGGGGTCATTAAACCCTGCAGAGAGCTTGTGTTAAGTCAGGCTAAGGTCTTTCCTAGGAGGCAACAATTAATACAGCCACAAATGATATCAACTTAACCACCTATGCCTACAGTCCAAAATATTAGTATACTATCTGTCTAATTTCTCGAAAATTGCAAAACTATACTCTTTTTTCTCTTTTATTATACACATTTTTTTTTACTTTTGAATCAGTTTACTACAAAACAAGGTCCATTGCATTAGCCACTGAAATATATTAACTGTAACAGTCTTTTGCAGCCCTCCTAGGGGCACACCTGTGGGGGCCATTCATTCAAATACCAGCCTATCGAGGAACAAATGCCGGGCACTATCCCCCAGTGGAACTCCTTGCCCTAGCCATCAGTTTTCCCCATGGAATACCACCCCTAACGTTACTCAGTTAATGATTATACGCCTGCCATTATCAAGTTTTTTTTACGTCCAAAATTTCCATCGTCTCCCGTACACCTCCCCTTCTAAAACATTTGATTGTAGAATTGGAATTTTCTTCATAACAACAAGAGTTCCGAGATCTCATACCTCCATGAAATATGGGCTTGATATGTAAATGTAAATTTCTTCTTTAATTATGCAAATGACCTCTGCATTAACATAATATATGCATCGTGATGTTAACTTTTGATTAACTTAAAGATGTCCCAAGTAAGACATTCCCATCATTCACCATTGAGAAATCATATATTTTTTGCATTAATTATGCAAATTAGGTCATCATTTGCATAATTAGTATCTGTTGATGTTCCATCTGCCATAGGTTCTATAATGTAAAACACTGTAATTATAGAATTTCCTCATTAATTATGCAAATAAAGTCCTCATTTGCATAATTTGCAGTTAATTGTGTACATCTCTCTGTCAGATACCTACACACCAAAAATGATGAAAATACGCTGTTCCTATCTGGACTTATTGGCTTTCAAAGATTTCGCCCGAAAGTCCCCTGCAGTTCCTGAACAAGCTGCTAGGGGGACCAAACCCACACCACTTATTCCTAACAGGAAAAGCTATCTGTCACCAAAAATTGAAGACCATAGCATGTTCAGGACAAAAGATACAAAAACCGGAAGTTCTGCTGCAGTACCAAGGTCATCCACCAGGAGGCCCATATTTGACCTTGACCTTTGTCTTCCTAAGACTTATCAGCATACCAAATATCATCACAATCCATAAAGGCGTTATGAAGTTATGCTGACTACAAAGTTGCGGAAACACACACAGACACACAGACACACAGACACACAGACAGACGCCGCCAAAAACAATACCTCCATTTTTCATGGAGGTAAAAACATACTTACTATGAACATGGAGATCATGATTTTTTACCTCCTTGCTATGTATGTCTTGCTTGCCCTGCTAATAGCAGTGATTACCGCCCCCAAACCGCCCACCCACATCTGTAAAGACAAGTAAATGTGTTAGAGATCAAACCCCCAGACACACCCTTTGGGGCCCAGAAAGGGTAGCCCATCGAGGTAGCCCTAGCCCTAGCCTAGCCCATCTTTTCCGGATACCCTTTTCTGTGCAGACGAGGAAGGTACTCGCGCAGACGTGGAAGGTACTCGCGCAGACGTGGAAGGTATTCGCGCAGACGTGGAAGGTATTCGTGCAGAAGTGGAAGGTATTCGCGCAGACGAGAAAGTTTTTTCTGTGCAGGCGTGGAAGGTACTCGCGCAGACCTGGAAGGTACTCGCCCAGGCGTGGAAGGTACTCGCGCAGGCGTGGAAGGTACTCGCGCAGGCGTGGAAGGTACTCGCGCAGACGTGGAAGGTACTCGCGTAGACGTGGAAGGTACTCGCGCAGACGTGGAAGGTACTCGCGCAGACGTGGAAGGCATTGCCTGTGTGTGGACAGTGTTCAGTACCAAGGACATGTGTGCTTGCCTGTGTGTGGACAGTGTTCAGTACCAAGGATAGGTGTGCTTCATTTGTTTGTTTGTTTGTTTGTTTTTATTAGATCTCCATTAGTGTTCAACTGACCACTATTCTTCCTGGAGTCCACATAAAATTCAAAATTATAACAACAGAAATGTACAGAATTCAACACAATATTAAGACACATCATTGTGTGTGGATGGTGTTCAGTACTAAGTTCAGTTGTGCTTGCCTGTCTGTGTAAAGTGTTCAGTACCATGGACAGGTGTACTTGATTGTGTGTGGATGGTGTTCAGTACCAAGGACATGTGTGCTTGCCTCTGTGTGGACAGTGTTCAGTACCATGGATAGTTGTGCTTAATTGTGTGTGGATGGTGTTCAGTACCATGGACAGGTGTGCTTGCTTGTGTGTGGACAGTGTTCAGTACCAATGACAGGTGTGCTAGCTTGATTGTGTGTGGACAGCGACAGTACCAGTGACACGTGTACTTGATTGTGTATGTACAGTGTTCAGTACCAAGATAGGTGTGTTTGATTGTGTATGGACAGTGTTCAGTACCAATGGAAGGTGTGCTAGCTTGATTGTGTGTGGACAGTGTTCAGTACCAATGACACGTGTACTTAGTTGTGTGTGGACAGTGTTCAGTACCATGGACAGGTGTACTTGATTGCGTGTGTACAGTGTTCAGTACCAAGGATAGGTGTGATTGATTGTGTGTGTACAGTGTTCAGCACCAAGGATAGGTGTGCTTGATTGTGTGTGTACAGTGTTCAGTACCAAGGATAGGTGTACTTGATTGTGTGTGTACAGTGTTCAGTACCAAGGATAGGTGTACTTGATTGTGTGTGTGTACAGTGTTCAGTACCAAGGACAAGTGCGCTTGCCTGTGTGTGGACAGTGTTCAGAACCAAGGACAGGTGTACTTGATTGTGTGTGGATGGTGTTCAGTACCAAGTTCAGTTGTGCTTGCCTGTGTGTAAACAATGTTCAGTACCAATGATAGGTGTGTTTGATTGTGTGTGGACAGTGTTCAGTACCATGGACAGGTGTGTTTGATTGTGTGTGGACAGTGTTCAGTACCAATGACAGGTGTGCTAGCTTGCATGTGTGTGGACAGTGTTCAGTACCAATGACACGTGTACTTAATTCTGTGTGGACAGTGTTCAGTACCAAGGACAGGTGTGCCTGCCTGTGTGTGGACAGTGTTCAGTACCAAGGACTGGTGTGCTTGATTGTGTGTGGATGGTGTTCAGTACCATGGACAGGTAGGTGTGCTTGATTGTATGTGTACAGTGTTCAGTACCAAGGATAGGTGTGCTTGATTGTGTGTGTACAGTGTTCAGTACCAAGGACTGGTGTACTTGATTGTGTGTGTACAGTGTTCAGTACGAAGGATAGGTGTACTTGATTGTGTGTGTACAGTGTTCAGTACCAAGGATAGGTGTGTTTGATTGTGTGTGTACAGTGGTCAGTACCATGGACAGGTGTACTTGATTGTGTGTGTACATTGTTCAGTACCAATGATACGTGTGCTTGATTGTGTGTGTACAGTGTACAGTACCAATGACAGGTGTTCTTGTCTGTGTGTGGACAGTGTTCAGTATCAAGGGCAGATGGGACTTGCCTGTATGTGGACAAATGACACTGACAATATCAATGTTATTCTTTGAAATGTCGTCCTGAATGGAACTGTACACGTTTTTGGAACGTTTGGTTCAGTAGATGGTTAATGATGTCGATATGAGAAACTGTTACTGACATTTGCATGTGTCTTGTTATTTTTAACAAACTCATGATAGACCACAACGTACCTTCCCTCAAATCATGACAGTGCCAACAACCCTACCAACAACCACCGTCGCCATGGCAATGTATGTTTTCATTGTCAGTCTTGTTTGTAATTGAATTGATAAAACTAGATGATGCTAGGACATTTTTTGTCCGTAGAACTGTGTAATTGATTTTATGCTCCTTAATAGATGCGTTGTGATCTGAATGTGACAGATTGCTCTGCACCTGTGGTGTAGGCAGGTTCACTAACCCGCACAAGGAAATAAGGCCTTGTTCATATGAAACCACCCAAACCGCGATTCGTAACTCGCATTTCTTACATCTGGTCCACGTGCCACACATTTCTTTGAAACCGTTCCCGATCATGATTCTCCGAAACTGCATTCATTGTTGTTTGATGAAAACACGCAAGGTAGCGTGTTAATAATGACAGAGGTCAACGACCTACTTGCTGGTCGCCCCCCCCCCCACCCCCCACCCCCACCGTATCTCGGCCGAATGCCGACGTGGTCCCGCCAGAGGCAGTGAAGCTCGCCCTAGAACGGACACATTTTTTACCATTACTGCTCGTTAAGTTGCTGCCACGTAAAATTTGGTATTGCATATAAATAAAGAAATATCACCTCGTAATCCATGACCAGGTGAAGTCACATTGAAATCACATTGCGTTCACAATCGCGATGCGGGAAAACCGATTCGAAACCACTTCTAGAAGTTCGAGGCGCTTTCAATGTGATTTGGAGCGTTCAGATGGGGTCACTTGAAACCGGCTTCGGGGTAAAACACATGTAAACCGCCTTCACTGACTTTATATGAACAGGGCCTAAGGGGTTTGGATGGAGGGGATAGGACTTATTGAACAAGACTACACCCCCATAACATAATAACTGAAAAGGTTAAAAATACTAACAGTTCTTCTTAACATTGCGAAGGCAGGCATGTGTTCCTCGAACTCTAGTTCATATCTGTTATGAAGCTCTACATCAAATACAACATACATCTCAAAGCAAAAGACAGCACAGACGCTTTGCGATACCGTCTGTAGGTAGGTTCTTTTTATTAATACTTATGAAAATGTCATACGTAGTTTTTGTGTTGTGATCATGCAACATTTACAGTGATATTTATTCCAATTTGATGGGAAAGTTCATCTTTATAATAGACTATTGTATTGTTTGACTCTTGTGTCGATAAAATGATGCAAATGTTTAAGTATATAAGTGATAGATATTACGTAATCTCAGTTGATTTGGTTTCTTTCTGTACATCTTGAACGGTATTATCTATGACGTGTACATTTTCCTCTAAATCTGACTTGTGTACAGGGCAAAAATATTTTTGTTATAACTTTTCAAAAACTCCTGGTGGTGAGATCCAATGGTGTAAACTGTCTTACGTCTGAATCATTCTAAATTGTTGATTGAATCATTCTACGTTGTTCTGAGATGTGTCCCTGAAAACAAAAAAGGCTGTGTTTGAATCGTTAGATGTAAAAGCGGGCTAACAGAAAACGAAACGTTTGTACAAGTAAAGCCCTACACAGATAGTTCTCACTGCCCTCCATTCTCTTTTTAAGCCACTCTTGGTGACGGTAATATAAGCATTTTCACTTATTCCATACTACCGATCGCGACCGCAGCATTCGCGCAGCTATAGTGTATTTCTGCCGGTGTCTGTTTTCTCACTAGAAGTAGATGTGTTTGGACTTGTTGCTCGTCTCGGTAAAATGTTACCACTCTCCACTGAGACACGGTCGTCAGTTCTTTCGGTCACCACTTTATGCATGCTTCTGTCGTGGTTATCCGGTACCAGCCGACGCATGATGCCCTTGTTCTTGCTCTTGTCGTGCGGCAAAGTGTTCGAGCCAGAAATTGGGAGCCTGTGTCTCTCGGGCGACCTGTTTTGCGCGCTGTGATTGGCCTGTTCTGACAGGCTCTCGCTGTGACGTTTCCGGTGATGCCTCCGTCTGCTGCGCACGCTCAGAGTGTCCTCAAACATCACATCCTGTCGAAGGAACTCGTTAAAGACGGCGTCTGTCTTCTCGTCGATGCTGTAATCTCGTCTCGGGTACTCGTAGCGTTCTTTCGCCGAGGCGAGGCGGAATTTTCCTTTGACGACGAGTTGTTTGGACGGGCTGGCGGGACGGTGACTGCTGTTTCCCTCTGCGGAGGCCTCCAGCTCCATCAGCACAGGTTCGGCTTTCCCGTCAGAGGTGAAGGACTTCCTTCTCTCTGCCGCCGACTTCGGGCTGAGAGGAACAGGGCTTAGCTGCGCCTGCCCGTGTTCCTGTTGCTTCTCCTGCTCTTGACTGAAGTCTTGTACGGTGACGCGCGGAGACGTTACCGTTGGAGAAGTTATTGGTACCTCGGGGACGGCTGCCATCGACTCCAGGTCCTCGTCGTCAAAGGTAAACCGTATTCCCTCCTTCTGATGCACCAGTTTCGGCTGCTTTTCTATGGAAACGTAGCCGCTGTCTGCTTGCATCATCAGGAGTCTGGTGTTGGGGCTGGGCGGGTCTTCACCTCCGCCTCCCTCAGTCTCGCGTTCTTCGCTCGCCTGTCGGGAGAACGGGCGGCGAGAGGACCGCGGACCTGCTGGCCCCGGCTCGGCACTCGCCGTTGCCACAGCGGGCGAGACGCCTCCCATCTCCGTCCCCTTCCTTCCCTCGGCTCCTTCCTGTTCCGGACTGGACAGGTTGTCCCCGTTAGGTGATTCGGCGCTGTGCTGAGACGCCGTGTCTAATTCCAGGGTGGTTCTCAGTTGCCAGATGTGGCGGGACAGGTCCTTGTTGTCCGGAGTGGAGAGACTTGTCGTTCTGTTCTCAACCTTTTGATTTTGTCCCGCCGTTATGTCCTCCGCGCCTACTACAGTTTGGAAGCTTTCCGTGGACTGGAATCGGCCTGGAGAGTTCTTAGTTTTTCGATCCAGCGTGAAATCGTGCTTCCCCGGGTCTCTTTCGACAGGGTCGGACACCGCACGTTGTCTCAGCAGGGGGCGTGGATGGGAGCTCAGGACTTGGCAGTCGAAGCTCTTCCAAGGCCTGCTTGTCTTCCATTGCTGAATCTTCTGTTGCGAAGGCAACACCGCGTCCAGGCTGGCGTGTTTCTGCAGTTTGCGGAAGAACTGCCTGACGGCGCTTTGTTCTCCTGACCCTTCCTTGGAGGGCTCGCTTCCACGGTGTACTTCTACGGGCACGCTGACTTCCGAGGACTTCCTGCGATCCGAGCGGCGACTGTCTGGGCCCGGGGACTCGGTGTCCGTCTCCTTCGGGCTCTCCGGCTCGTCTGCCATCTCGTCGGCGTGGGTGATGGTGAGGAGCGGGTAAGTCTCGCGGGCGGGGCGGGGCGAGTCCACGGAGGCCGACTTCAGGATGGCGGGAAGGCCCAAGGTCTTGTTCAGACGTGCCTTTTTCAAGTGGTGGAAGTCTCCCTCCGTGTATCTGTAACGTGTGGAAATATCGTTAGACTGGCGATTAGACCTTACAATCCTATTCAAAAACCCGTTCTTAGTCTCATCTGAGTTGATAAATTACATAATGATAATTAAATGTTCTCAAAGTCCAATCTTCTCTCAACAAAGATGGTGGGCGGTATCGACTTCTGACGAACGTGGACTCATCACTGACGTCACACCTGCGGAGAAATCATGTGTCTACAGCACTTGGGTCAGATAGCTGATGAAAAACGAGAGATTTAGACGAAACTTCCGATGAGACAAATTTTTGAGTTGAAGAACAGTTCTGTATTAATGTTATTTCAGATAATAATTATGCACGTAGCCGTGACTTCGAATCAGTCTTCGAAGAAACTGAGAAAGGGGACACGTTTACCCTTCTCCGTTATCAGGTTCACAGCATACGTGTATTATCTTGACAGTTCATTTGTATTGGTAGAAGTCATTAAAGCAAGTTTTACAAGAAATTGGACTTTTGACTGTACAACTCCAGTCTTTGTCAACGACTGAACAATCCACCGCCTCTATGACGTCATGTTATGCTGGGCACTACAACCATTCCTTAACAAAGACGGGGGGCGCCACATACTGCACACCGAGTCACGTGTGTTATCTGTATAACGTGGCGTCACAGTGGATCTCTTTCCTTGACAAGGACAGTTGTACAGTCGAAAATTTGGGTAAAGCCAATTTCTTGTGCTGGAAATTACAGTTTAAACTTGCTTCGTAACAGATGTATGTCCTACTCTTTACGGCTCCGTGCACACGTCCATTATCTAGATAGAATGACGGGAAGATCCAGCGATCTCCTGTACATCTGTTTTTTCTTCGTCGAGTTCAAGTCAACTCGTTTAAGCAAACTTTCTTAACAATGACGTGGAACATTCCAACGGAAGAGTGGCTAGCTCACACGAGATCGTGAGGTCACGAGTTCGATCCCTGGCATTCCAGGCTAGAAGTTGCGTCACGGGGAAAGGTACTTTAGGCCACAGCAAGTAATTTTTATGGATGACATCCGCGCGCGCATTGATTTTCGCCTGATTTTAGAAAAAAGAACAAGAAATTTTGTTGCCCTTTGGCGGTGGTCAACATTAAAAAAATGGACAAAATGGCATGCCTTGTCATGCTGGAACGTATATGGCAGATAAACATGAAGAGAGGAGACAAAACAAGGCTCTGATTTATTTTTTTACTTTTACTTTGATGCAGTGATGTATATTATTTTTTCAATACGTTCCCACGGAATCAAAACCATTTTGTACAATGTTTTTTTGGGCCCGCCTTGTTTTTTTTCGCACTCTCGCATTAGATTTGGAGTCTGCGAAGGATGTCATCCATAAAATTTACTTACTGTGGCCTTACACGACATTCCTCACTTTACCCAGTTGTAAAATGAGTGTCTGTCTTCGGTTTGGGAGGTAAAAGGCTGTGGAAGGACAGTGTCGGGCTTCTACTTCTAATACTATACTACCTTTAACTTTCTTACCTATACTTCAATTTAGTGGTAGTAGTAGTGATTGGTTTATTGAAAAGAACAAAGAACATGTCAGACAATACTAGTAGATATAAGAGGGCAACTTACACTTGTAATATGCTAAATTTATAAAAACCATCGTCATCGTCATATATAGCAATATAAGTAAAACAATATAATTTCTCACGAGTAAGATCACTACTGTCGTTCTACATTAAAATGACTGAAAGTCTTTGAAGTTTTAAAAGTTAGTCTGGTACGAGCGCTAAGGATATGTACAGTTGGCGGCAAGAATTCGATTTGACAAAATAAACAATCGATAGTACTGAGATCAGGGTCCAACCCGATTAAAAATTCAATACAAACTTGGAGGAACAAAGACAAAACTACTAGTGAAAGCTTGTCTATCAGTACAGAACTCACCTTCTCCTTTTGTTGGAGTCCCTCCTTAAGGGGCTGTCGTCGTCGTCAAGGAGATCCACACCCTGGAAGGACACCCTGCGCTGCGTGGATTGGTCAGGAACGCCCAGCTGACCACCGCTCAGAACCAGAGTCGGGACGGCGTCTTCGGGAATATCTAAAAAAAAAAACAGCGTGACGTCAGTTTCTATTGTGGCAATGTTGCCATAGTAACCATCGCTCAGAACCAGAGTCGGGACGGCGGGCGTCACACACTTCGCTCAGGTAGAAATGAGTACCTAGCTTCCATTAGGGACGTCCCTCGGATAGGACGTTAAATGGCAGTTCCATGTTTGGGAAGAGCCACACCCTACGCACGTTAAAGAACCCACCACACATTTCGGACAATAGTAGGGGTCCCGAGGGTGGGGTGGTCCCATCTTCACTCTCGGAGTTGGTGGTTCAATACAAATCACCCAGACAGAGGCCTGGCGAAACTCCGTCTCGTTAATAGATTCCGACATGATTGTAATTTGTATTTCTCTACTATTAATTAATGATTTATATTGTAAACAAACATCAGAATTCAGCCCTGTATGTCAAGGCTGCGAGATGTGTTGTTGATATGTTGATACAAATAAACCAATAAATAAATAGATAAATATATGTGTACTTAAAATAGCCCAGTGCTAGTTGAGGAACCTTAGCTGTATCTTCAACAAAAAAGGAATAAATAGATGAATAAAGAACCATTAGCGTGACGTTAGTTGTTATGATGATGACGTTACCATAGTGACCATCGAGGTGATGGGAAGGTCAATGACCGCGCGCCAATAACGCTAATGCAAATCTATCGCCCGCATGGATATAGATTTTCCCATCTGTAAAGCCTGGGTCACTCGGGTTAACCCTCGATCACATCAATTCACCGTATCAAAGAGAAATGGATATTACGGCCAGATGGGCAGCCTTTTGAAAAAAAAGGTCTGACCTATAACGATACAAACATGTAACATATTTTGAATTAAAAACATTTCTTCATCCCTCCTTGTTAAATGCATCCAATGCAATTTCAGGGTCGCTGCAACAACAAACATCGTCTGGATGAGGAAACCTGTCTGATAATATTTGTACTGGCATTCAATGCTCCTTCTAAGCAGATGTTCGTCATTATGAAAAACTTAAACTCAAAATTTGACTCACCAGAAATTTTCGACTAAATCACTCAGTCTTCCTCTGCTATCTGGCCCAAATGCTATGGACACGTGATTTTTCCCACGTGTGACGTCAGCAAAGGGTCAAAGGTTGTCCGAGGTCGATATCGCCCCCCGTCCCGGTTGAGCAATGGTTGAAGTGCCCTGATGTATATGGCCTCTTTTATGCCTCTCTTGAAGTAATCCTGTTCGGTATCCAAGATTTTGACTTCAGACAACCTTTGACCCTTTGCTGACGTCACACGTGGGAAAAATCACGTGTCCACAGCATCAGATGTTCGTCATCATAATTTAGGCAACTAAAATAGCCCACAAAAAAGCTACGTGAGGAATCATGAACATGTAGCTTGTTAGTACAACCATACGAAACAAGCAACCGTTTTTGGCAGCGACATCGCATTCTAGCCTCCCAGCTATCAGTGTGGTATGGGAAAAGGAGTTGATTCAAATGACTAATTGTACATGAAAAAAGCCCCAGAAAATTGACTTCAAAATCAGGTTTACTACCCTGAAATTGCTGTGTGTGCCTTCTACTTCGATTCACGGATTTCCAGTGCTCACATACATTATATAGGCTATCTGTTTCATGATTGATATCAATTTAGACTACCAACTTAGAGCCACGAATAATAAGATTCATTGAACGAATCCATATGTAAAATTATAAGTAAAAACAAACAAGAAATTCGCCAAAAAGCACTTACTCAAGCAACTGGATATGATTTTGAAAACGTCAGACGTTTCAGCTAGTATCCACTAGCTTTCGTCAGTGACTGAGAGACCAGAGGGGAAATGCAGGTTTATAAGCACATACTATTGATTGATATGCAAATAAAGTGAAGACAAATTTTTGGAAGTCGAAAAAGGAACAAAAGTCAGACAAGTCAAGACAAGATAATGTAAATTAGTCCAAAAATTTGTCTTCACTTTATTTGCACATCAATCAATAGGTTGTGCTTATAAACCTGCATTTCCCATCTGGTCTCTCAGTCACTGACGAAAGCTAGTGGATACTAGCTGAAACGTCTGACGTTTTCAAAATCATATCCAGTTGCTTGAGTAACTGCTTTTTGGCGTATCGTATTACCTGGATGTCTAACCTTCATCGACGAAACAAGAAATTACTGAGAAATTTTAGTTCATAATCATACGTCTGAGATAGATAATAATCAGAAATAAATTTCAAATTTAACACAGCCTACACCCCAATATGCTAACATTGTAGTCCAAAAAGGTTTAGCGCATTTCAGGTGCATCGTATATTACGACCAATTCCTATGTTTATCTGAACACAGGCGAGCACCTTGTATTATAATACAGCCATCGTCTTTCGTTATAAATCATCTTGCTTTTACGTTGTCATTCGATTACAACATAGATCATTTTTCCTTTCATACTCAGCCTTTTAAGCTAATATTTCAACGAAAAAAGGAACAATGTGGTAAAGCGTACTTGGTAGATGGTTGATAAATGGAAATCACTCGTTCTCATTCAAATGTACAAAATGCTGTCGCCACTCTTTAGGACTAGGTCTGAGCCAAATCATGGACCTCATTGTTGCTTTTTTCACTTTCCCACTACACTTACTATGTTTTACGAAAAATGTACCACAAACCTAGGTTTGATTGATGACTTGAGAGTTGGATTTCTCCCCCTAAAAAGCGGCTGTCGCCTGAGACGAAATAGAAACTTTAAAAAGCAGCCTAAAACGTAGCAATTTGATTACGGCAGTAGTTTTCTGCCTGGTGAAGTCGGATGGCCAGGCCCTCTGATTGATCAAGTCAGATCGCTCCTGTCACTATTCCTGTACGCCGTGCGAGGTGTTTCATACCTGTCGCCAAGTTCTGTAACATCCGTTACCGCTCAAGTAAGACGGTCGTGCAGTTTAGATAGAGTCACATATAAGACATGAAATTGCCATTTTGATGACTTGTAGCAAGTTTTCTAGGTTTCTAAGAGAAGAAGAGAAGAGTGTGTGCTGTCATTTATAGCCACATTCGCTGAACAAATTGTTTTACAGTAATAAATGTAACATCCGTTACCGTTGTTTTTACTTTCAATTTTAGTTTCTTCACCTGGTATATAAAAAGTCGCCCAGTTTTAAAATGTCCGTACTTATGCCCTCTTGTTCTCAAATGATGAAGATAAAAACTGCAGATCTTCTTGGAGAAATAAACAAAAACGTCCGTTTTGTAACATCCGTTACCGGTAACGGAAGTTACACGTGTAGCGGAAAAGACGTAACAAGAGATTGAATTTCCCTTCCCTATGCACCATAAACATAATAGTTGGAAATAAAGTAGAAAAAATATGGATCCGAAGAAAAATAACCCTCTGTGGCGTCAACAGACTCAGATGTTCTACTCTTCTTTGCTTCCAAAGATATTTTTTCCTACTTCTATACACTACACTGTGCTATCTTTATGTGTTCAATACGTGTATATTTACCTGTAAATAATGAGTTGACAGAAGCACTTTCATAGATACTGACGCCTAAACTAAAGGCTTTTGAAGTGATGTCATGAATACAAGCTTTATCGTACACCCAATTCATATTGATTTTCCAGCGTTTTTGCCGCACAAAAAATTGCATTGTTTACATATGTCTTATCTAAGTGCATAAATTTTCGGTAACTTCCCATGGCAATTAAGCTGTCCTTTTTTGGTAATCATTAATTGAGATGTTTTCCTAAAAAATAAGGTAGGTTTGCCTGAAAAAACAGATCATCGATTTTTCAACCCCCAAAACCACCATTTTGTACATTTCAATGAGAACGAGCCAAATAGAATTCGGGGTGAGTCGTGTTGAAGTCTTACGGTCACAATCGTCGTAGGATTTTGTACGACACACGCACGGCTATCTCAAGAATGCCATCAGTTTGCTCCATTGCAATTAAGTGCCATTCAGGATTTGGAGGTGCCAAAATACGACCAAGTGGATACAAAAGCTGTCAGTCATTTTTCTTGACATTCTGGTATTTTGTGGTGGTGTCACAAAATAGGTCTGCGTTGTTATTAATGTCAGCCAGAAATGTATAAGATAATTGCACACATGCTTTTTTTTATAAATTCAACATGTTATCACAAGACGTTGTGGGGACACACTCAAGTTTTTTTTTCAAATTAAATTAATGACGCCACCAGCATAGGGACAATACAATTCTCATTTTTACCTGGGCGAAGGGAAGGAAGTCGTGTTAAGTGTCTTGCCCAAGGGCACAAGATCGGTGGCATGTCAGGACTCGAACTTGGGACCTCCTCGTTCCGAGTCGAGCACTCTGTCGTTACGCCACGCGATCCCACAAATATGTAGAAAAGTGGAAGTAAATTACAATCCCCTGAATGTCTTTTTAAATCAAAATATTTTGATTTTGTTTTGCAAAAATGTTACATAATGCCCCTTTAACAGACCACTCCGTTAGACAGGCTCGGTTTTGATGCAGGTATAAGCCTTGTTCATGTGAAGTCACCCAAACCGCGATTCGGGTAACTCGCATTACTCACATCTGGTCCACGTGCCATACATTCCTTGCAAACCGTGTCCGATCACAATTTTCCGAAGCTGCATTTATTGTTGTTTGATGAAAACACGCAAGGTAGTGTGTTATTAATGACAGAGGTCAACGACCTGCTTGCTGGTGCTCCCCTCCCAGCATATCTCGGCCGAATGCCGACGTGGTCCCGCCAGAGGCGGTGAACCTCGTCCTAGAACGGACACATTATTTTACCATTACTTCTCTTTAAGTTGCTGCCACGTAAAATTTGGTATTGCATGTAAATAAAGAAATATCACCCCGTAATCCATGACCGGGTGAAGTCACATTGAAATGAAATTGCGTTCAGACGCAAATCGCGATGCGGGAAAACCGATTCGAAACCACCTCTAGAAGTGATTTGGGATCGAGGCGCTTTCAATGTGATTTGGAGCATTCAGATGGACCCACTTGAAACCGGCTTCGGGGTAAACCACATGTAAAGCGCCTTGTGTGACTTCACATGAACACGGCCATAGAGGCGGATTGATTTTGTCCACCTGGAGGTAAACGGTAGGCACCAGGTGTAAGGGCGGTCGATTCCATTAGGCAAATAATCCAATACGCCGTTAGGAAACAAACTAATCCCGACTGATCAGATACGTTACGTAAAGGAAAAGAAGAGGAAAAGTAAACGCCAAAATTTTAGAAACCAAAAATGCAATAGTAGGAAAGTGCAGCAGTTTTTTTTTTGCTGTCATGTTGAAAATGTTTTTAATATGTGACTTTGGAAATGGCTGCTTGCAATTCTAATTATCTTCAGATGTATTTTTTTTCAAGAATGACAAACTGTCTTTAAAACCCCATAAGCGTTTGGTGAAATCATATTTAGATAATTGTTTTGATGGTCGAATTTCAATTATTCATTAATGTTTGCTTTTTAAACTTCTTCATCAAAACACAACATAGATTACAAAGTGGTGCAGCCTTCGATCAACAATAACTGCTTTGGTGGTCAAATTTTAATTTTTGATGTTTGCTCTTTAAACATTTTCTTCTATTCAAACATACAAAGAAATTACGTGGTACTGCACACAAGCATAAAAATATGCTAAATGACGAGAGATGCACAAATTATACCTCTTGCACCATACAGAAACAAGACTGGCAATGAAAACATACATTGCCATGGCGACGGTGGTTGCCGTTAGGGTTATTGTTTGCATGGCACTGCCATCATTTCATGATTTTGAGGAAGACTTGGTACCTGTTAAGTCTAGACAGATACAGTGCACTCCTCCACTGAGCGTATAGTGAGCGAGCCCCGGGGTCACAGAAAGTAGGGCCATCCGGGGCAGAGAGGTCTTCCCAATGGTTTTCAGGAATTTGGGCATAGATGTGGGTCAGAGAAATGCCTGTGGACATTCCATTCCTGTGGACATAATTCCTGCACCATTCCTAGAATTCTTGCAAACTGCACACAATACTGTATCATTAGGCTCCTCCCTGAGACGTCGCCAAAAAAAGAGAAGACAAGATCTGCTTGTGTGCCGTTGTATTACGTTCACTTTACACATCTGTTTAGGTCCCCAGGGCTCTGTGCCCCACATTTCCACAATCTCATTAAATCCTACATTTGTACGTACGTGTCAATTACGTTTCGGGTCAGACAGATGATGCGATACCTCAGGCGACATGACAACACACGGAACACGTACCCATTCATGTGTGTATAATTATGATAAAATACTTTTGTGTTTACCCCATGTAGCATTTACTCTTCAGTGTTGACGCTAATATAGGCATAATATAGATAAGGCATAATATAAATAAGCATATCATGGTGTATATATAAATAATATAGGCATAATATAAATAAGCATATCATGGTGTATTTTCTTATGTATCTTTGAATTAATGATGGTTAATAAAACGCAAGATCATTCTCTTGTGCCAGATTCAGATATAGTACTAATACTTCAGATACAGTAGTGCCAATGCCTGAAGCATCAGAGAGAACATATACTATATGTTAGCTCATACCCCTATGCTTTGGCTGCATATGATTTACAAATATATAGCATATAGACACTACAACGACAGTCTGGTCGTGTATTCAAGGTATATATGATGATTTGGTTTCGATTTTCCATTATAGAGGGTAGTTATGGGGTGGATAAAGAAGGAATACGTCCTACCTGACAAGGTGTGAACGTTGATGTCGAAATTTTCACCCTCCCCATAGTCGCCTCTCACTTCGCTGTAGTGGATGGAAAACACATGGTCAAAACAAAATGTTACGGACATTTTCCTCCAGAAGAGGGTTGGAAATCGTTGGTTCGAAGATTCCCCTTTCCCAAATCGCTAGAACAGAAGGGAAGTGCCCTTGACATGGCATCGGAAATATCCGTGTTCAGGAGGGAGAGGAACAAAATGGGGAAGAAATGGAGAGGATGAAATGGTTTTCAAAATGTCGGACCCAGGGAGGGGAGGTCTGTCGACGTCATTCGCCGACGATGCACGAAGATTGCCGACGCCAACACGAGTATGACGTCAGCTCGTGGTACGGCTCGTACCCATCCCTTTTTTCATAGAGACACGCCGTATATTTGCCATCACGGAATGGAGATTAAATCAATAAACGAGTAACAATAGACGTGAGTAAAAATCGTTCAATGCTGCCTGTATGGGCAGTTGCCTTCACCAAGAGCTCCTTTCACGAGCATATCTGCTTTAAAAAAATGATCCCCAAAATTAAAGGCACTGTCCAAGGTGCTGATATTACAAGAGTTCTAATGCTTAGTCTTTCCGTTACTTTTTGCTTATGTTAAACATATTTTAAGCCTCAATGTAAAACTTATTGAATTGCTCTTATTTGTGAGAATAATTTTTCCCGTTCTTTTAAGCTATCAAAACACCTTAAATAAAATCAATTATCCTATATAATAACGCGTGCCGGTCCGACTACGTTTACTGAGAGGTTATATGAAATAGCGGGAAAAGCGTTACCTATAGCTCGGCCCACATTCTGGAATAAGAAGACGAAGACAGCCCGTCTCAGGAACGTATTATATACAGGGGAGCAAACACACCTGTTTCTCCTCAAGCCGCGGAGAGAGATTGGGGCTGAATACAGCCCAGTCCGTGGGAGGTGCGTGGGGGGAGGATATCGGAGCGCTCGCTTTTACATTTCGTGGGCAGTGATTTGCATTTTCTGTGTAGGTTTGGGGGACAAAATAGACACACCAACCCTTTTTAATGAGGTGATTCTTATTCATTTATATTTGCTTTCAAAGTTGCCACCGAAACGGTTAATAACTACTGTCCTTCTTTTTGATTCTTTTATTCTTTTATCGCTATCTGTATCAATCGGTTAGTTGTTTATTTGTAGCAGTTTAAGTATTATATTAAATATTTATAAAATTAGAATTAAAAAGATTGTTTAAATGTTACCAAACGAACAGTTGGTAATAACGCTATTAATCCACCCTGTTATCTTTTAATATTGGTATCATTATTTCTTCTATCTGGACGCCACGGTAAATTTTATCACAATTCTCTATTTATAAAAAAAAGTATGGTGAATATTGAGCATAACGTGGTACAAAAGATATTTGCTCCATCTGTTTCTGGTGTGACATAAATTGTTGAGTTATTGATGGGGACTGGGAACGGCATGTTAGGGGAAGTCCCCGGGCGTTAATAATCTAAGGATGGGAGCCGCGCTAACTGACAGTTGGGACGGGCACTTAGTCACTTAGGCTGGCTATAAATAATGGACTTAAGTACGGATCCGACACGGGGGAAGGAAATGGAGTTAATGTACGACTGCGCAAAACAACTCGTGACGTTCCTGTCTTCCCTTATTCGTACACAAGTCACGGCCATATTTTGGAGAGCGTAGGTGGTATAACATATATATATATAAGTAATTCTAAACTGTCTTTTCTTAGCAAATTATAAAAACAGTTATGAACAAGAAACATACCTTTATGATATAAATAACTTTGAGATTCGTAAAACAATAACTCAATTAAGAATCAGTAGCCATAAATTGAATATTGAAGCAGGTAGATTTTACAATATACATTGTAGCCCCTGACCAAAGGTTCTGCCCATTTTGTCCAAAGCATATAGAAAATGAATTTCACTTTGTTATGGAATGTACCAAATATGATGTTATGCGTAAGAAACTATTTACATTTCTCGAATCAAGTACAACAGATTTCAAGAGTCTCGATTTTGGAGACAGATTTGAATATATCTTTACATGTAATGGTCCCCACAACGCAAAAATAGGTAGATATATAAAGAATTCTTTGCTATTAGAATAAATACCGAAACTTGTGATTGGCCCACTCGATTGTAACACTTTATCAAAGACTTGTGCCATCCCATATTATTTGAATAATTTGTATAAAGATATGTTAGGTTTTATTCGACATTAGGTCTTATTCAACACACTTATTCTATTGTTGTTACTCTCTTTATGTAGTTTGTCATACATTGTACCATGTGCAATTGTCGTGCAATAAAGTTCTTTTATAATATTCAAAAGTAGTACGATGTTTATTCATTCCCGAACGAAACACATTTGCATAATCCTCACCTGAAAGATCATTGGCGTTAGTTCTAAAATGGTTAATCACAGTCAGGTGTCAATATGATTACGTCATAGCCAATCAGAGCGCGATGACAGAACTTACTGTGCCTGCGCGAAACCCGTAATTAATTATTGCCCATATTGACTTTGGCAGATCGTCTTGTTTAAGGTCGTATTCAAATATTTAAGAATGACATCCTATCTATAATTTTCAAATGTTGTGTGGAAAAAGATCGTCTGCAACAAGCAAAATTCTGATGCTGCGTTGATCAAAAATCCAAGGAAAACCGTGATGTTACAGGTTTTACGCAGGCGCAGTACATGCCGCCGACATGCTGACTAACATTTAATTAACTACCCACGTGATCACGTGTGTAATCTACAACAAATGACGTCATAGAGACAGTGAATTGTTCAGTCATTAATCAAGACTGGTTTAGTGTAATGGGAGATTTTACTTTTTCTATTGTGTCAAAAATGACATTTAAAAACACTTGATACATTTGTATATTTGAAAAGCGCTTGAAAAAAATGATAATTTCCTGGTGGATTATAGGCAAAATAGGCCACATGAATCACAAAATAATTTTGATCGATATTCTGCATGTAGAGGACGTTATTTTTGTGTGTATTTTTGTGTGACGTCCTTTAGCCACGTGACAAAAGCAAGAACACTGCTCATGCGGACATGACGTCATACATTAAAATAAACTTTGGTTATTGCAGATTTTATAAAAATCCATGGTAGCACTGTCCGTTCTCGGCCCGTGGACTACTGTATCCAGAACGTGACGGAATGTATCTGTATCTGTATAGCCGGTATACCCGCCATTCGGCGTAACACATGTAGCTTCCGTATCTGTATAGCCGGTATAACCGCCCTTCGGCGTAACACACCAGCTTCTGTATCTGTATAGCCGGTATAACCACCCTTCGGCGCAACACACCAGCTTCTGTATCTGTATAGCCGGTATAACCGCCCTTCGGCGTAACACACCAGCTTCTGTATCTGTATAGCCGGTATAACCGCCCTTCGGCGTAACACACCAGCTTCTGTATCTGTATAGCCGGTATAACCGCCCTTCGGCGTAACACACCAGCTTCTGTATCTGTATAGCCGGTATAACCGCCCTTCGTTGTAACACACCAGCTTCTGTATCTGTATAGCCGGTATAACCGCCCTTTCGCGTAACACACCAGCTTCGCAGGCACGTGGCGCGGCGGCAGCTAGCTATATGAATGACTTGTTACACTCCGAATGACTTGTTACTCTCAATATTTGCAAATTTCATTGCAGGAGTTGTTTAAAGCTTTCTAGTGATGATGCCCCAACCTTGCTCGGTGGCAACGAGTTCCAGTCTACGATAGTTCTGGGGAAGTACGAGTAGAACGAGGTGAGCCCATAGTGAAGGAACATGTCGTGCTGCCTTTTGATGTTCCATTTACTAGTAGTTAAAACCAGTCGAGTAATTGAGCACTCAGCGGAATCAATTGGGTAGAAAACATGGGAAAATATCTGATGCATGAAAGTAATTTTGAATAAACTGTAGACTGTAACTCAACAACCAAACAATGAAACAAAGCAGACATTTGTTCAAGTGAACCAAACAATCAAATAATCAATTTACCAATCAGCCATACAGGCGACTAAGTCATCAAAAAGTAATGACCTAAAAGTTGCGTATATTGTTTGAGTACGGATGGAATGTGCAGATTGTGATAAAGGGTTTACGTGACACAATAAACGAGTTCAGAGTTCCAACTGCGCATACGCGGAGTGATGCATTGTGGGTAATATATCTAAGGTGAACGCACGGGAGAACGCACTGCGCCTGCGCGAAACCCATAACTTATTATTTTTTTTATTCCAACATGTAATCACCAGACGTGGTGACGACACACTCAAGTTTTTTCAACTTATATTAATGCCGCCACCAACACAGGGGACAAATACATTACAGGACAATACTCATTTACACCTGAGCGAAGTGAGAAAAGTCGTGTAAAGTGCCTTTCCCAAGGGCAGAAGATCGGTGGCATGTCAGGACTCGAACCCGGGACTCTTAGTTCCGAGTCGCGCACTCTGCCGCTACGCCGCTACGCCACACGACCCCACTTAACCCCCCATAGCTTATTGTGCATAGCGCTTCGGCAGAATGCATTATTTAATTTATCCGCAAAATATTTCGCGTATTTAAGGAAAACATTTCATCTATAGTTTTCACATGTTGTGTCGGAAAAGATGTCTTCAACAAGCAAAATGCTGATCCAATAAGACATCCGACGAAAACCTTAAAACTCCGGTTTTTGCATAAGCACAGTATATGCTTATCTATGATGCCTTGGGGCGCTGGTATAACGGAAATGAAAAGAAAACTACAGTGGGGGTCGCTGGAAGACAGACGTAGAATGTCCAGACTGTGCATGATGTACAAAATGACTAATAAACTGGTGGATGTACCAACCACTAAGTATCTGATATCAGCCCAGAAAAGAACAAGAAACAGTCATGCCTTCAAATATCAGAGTTATCAACCAAGAATTGAGGTATTCAAAAACTCGTACTTCCCCAGAACTATCGTAGACTGGAACTCGTTGCCACCAAGCACAGTTGGGGCATCATCACTAGAAAGCTTTAAACAACTCCTGCAATCAAATGTGCAAAGATTGAGTGTAACTAGAAAGGCCGACATTTGCTTTGGAGCAAATACAGCAATGGCTTCACCACATTTTACGACATGGCAGGGAAAGAATGAGAAACACAAGGGAAAACAATGCTTTACATTAATATAACTATAGTATGAAGTAACATACAACTAAGACTACAACAGTTGGATAGCTATTCCCTACATTATTGGTTAGGATTTTTAATTGCATAATGCAAACTGTGGATTTTCAAGAAAAAAAGAAGCGTTCATGCCCCGCATTCCAATGCTGGAGCAGGAAAGCTTAAAATACCTACCAAAACACTTGAATACAGACATACTGTCAGTATGGAATGGCTCTGTGCAGGTATTAATTAAGTTAAGCCTGTTAAATTCCAACAGCCAATCAGCAAGGAGAATAGAGGAAAGCTGCATGCCTATTGGTTGATGCCCTGCATTCCATTGTGATGACTCATGCCCAAATCTGGTAACACTGCACACTAACTCAGTAATACATTTGCTATAACACAGCCAAAAAACTCAAATAAAACCATTCTAAAAGCCTGTATCATAAAAATTTAAAAAAACGACCTGGGGGTAGTTTGCCTACTGTACCTCCATACCAAATTTCAGGTCCTTAGGCCCCCAAATGAAGAAGCTGAATCCATTTAAAGAAATGGCAGGAGGAGAAGAAGGAGGAGAATCATGAGAAAAAGCAATATGGTTTCACCACTTTGTGGTGAACCCATAACAAGCCGTTCGGTGTGATATAGCTAGCTGCCGCCGCGCCGCGTGCCTGCGAAGCTGGTGTGTTACGCCGAAGGGCGGTTATACCGGCTATACTGATACAGAAGCTGGTGTGTTACGCCGAAGGGCGGTTATACCGGCTATACAGACACAGAAGCTGGTGTGTTACGCCGAAGGGCGGTTATACCGGCTATACAGATACAGATACAGATACAGATGACGATGTCCTTCATATTTGGCCTTGCTCAAGTTGGCACCCGAACAAACGGATACAAAAGAATGTAGGATATGAAGGCCCGTATTCAATATGGAGTCTGTGTGGTTGGGGAAATGACTGCGGGGGTGTATCTCTCTATTCATCGTTCCCTTCTATAGAGACACACGGGAGGGATCCAAACGGACGGTAAGAATATTCTATTAGAAAATAACGCCTCCACACCTTTTCTACTCACGTGTCATCACTCTTACAGGGTCACGTAACAGAGATAGAACGTATAATATGCATATTTTTGCTGAGTATCATGTTGAGTGGTTGAGTGTCAGATACATTGCCACAAGAAGTGACGCAATTCTTTACCGCACGTAACCATTATTTACAAACACTAGAAATGATACATTTTAAATGATACATTACAATAGTGCAAGTAAGTTCAGTATTATTAGCATTTAGTCCAACTAAAGTCACCAAGGAGATGTGAGTCACACATCGTTACAACACTCATACCACCAAAACAGCTATATTCCCATCTTGACCCCTCCCCGACCAGAGTTTTCAAAACCATTTTTGTTCTTTTTTTAAGATTATTAACTTTGAGTGGTAAGAGGCATTTTTGTGAAACATACATGACGTTGTTAAATGATATACTTCAAGCTTCAACCGTAGCACAAAAGTTTTCTAGCATCCAAAGTCATGGCCATAGCACGTCCAGAAGAAGAGATTTCAAAATCGGAAGGTCCTAATTGATATCTAATTTTTCACCATCAGTTTTATACGTAACGATAAAATTTATGATGAGCGATTAAATATCAACCCCAAAATTCAAAAAAAGTCAACAAGTGACACCAATATTGGTGTCTTCTTTTCTCCGGGTTCGCACGCACGTGTCACGTATAGGAATATTCAAGACTCGGGAGCCAAGAATAATGTTCTATCAGGATCTCTTTTATTCCATCCGTCTGTTACTGACCGTGTCTACAGGTCAACTCCCCGATCCCCCGGTGTTAGCCCTCTTATAACTCCCCTAGGCCACACCAATTTAATTCCTTGGTTAACGGATTTTTCTAAAAAATAATGGAGCGGGCGGGCGAAGAAAATAAAAACAGGCCTAGGCATCCTCTATTATGGCCCAAAATGGTACGATAGGAGCCATGAAGTCAACACACCGGGCTGGTTCAAAATTTAAACAATGAATTTTGAGCTTTTAATGATACCATTGCATTGAAAGATGGAATAACTGTAATAATTAGGATGGAAAGGACTGTTTTCAACAGTTCAGGGCAAAATATGAGCATTTTGCAGTTGATTCTGAATTTTTATTTTTATTTGCAAATCTGAAAAAAAATGAAGCGGGCGAATCCGTTAACCAAGAAATTAAATTGGTTCGGCCCTAGTACACAATCTACATCAATTATCTACAAGCTAAACATAGGAGACAGGGGGCAGGCCCGAGCAACAACGACAGTCGGTGTCTATCTGTGTCCCTCGTCACCCCGTGACACGTCTCCACCATCGGCAGCTAGTCTTACGGACTTGCGAGGGACACCCATCGAAACCAAGGTCACTAAGTTACTAGTATGATTTGCCAATTTTGTAGCTCTAACAAAGTAGAAGATGAAGCTCACTTTGTTATTGATTGTAGTTTATATAGTAATGAAAGAAATGATCTTTGTAGATATATTATAAGTACGTTTCCATACTTACAATACTTGCCTAATATTGAAAACTTTATCTTTCTTATGCGCTTTGATTATCCTGTATTAAACAAACCCATTTCAAATTATATTTTTTACATCACAAAGAAACGAGAAGAAGCGGAACCTCTGTATTAGAGTAGTTTTAGAGCTGTTTGTACTACAAACATGTATATTACCCATTTCATTTGTTCACCTGTACTTAGCCCGATAGGGAATGAATGTACAATAAAGGTTATTATATTGTTATTGTTATTAATATGTAATTTCTCTCGTTGGGTGGCACTCGTACACAACAACATCTATGGAGAACAAACCGCACGTGCCCACCTCTTGAGTCCCTTGCGCCGCCCCAGACAGTACCTGCACACGGCGATGGTCAGCACCACCAGCACGGCCCCGCCCACCGCCCCGACCGCGATAAGCACTGTGGGAAGGTTGGAGGGAGCCTCCTCACTCGTTCCCTGGGTAACGTCTCCCTGGCAAGAATGAACAACAAACAATAAAATATGTTTGAAGTTAAAACTTTAGTTAAAACTGACCCAGTGAAGCTTGGATATCACCCTACATTGAACCGCGACGGGGGTCGACATCGTCTACCAGATACCTCTGACCTCTGACCCAGTGTTGACGTCACACTTCAAAGAAGCTACGTGACAAGCTTCACTGGGTCAGTCTACTGAGGAAGACCAGAGTGACTGGTCGAAAGCTCTAGGTGAGAGAATTTTTTGTGTTGGAACAAAAGTTTTAACTTCAAACATGCAACTACCAACACAGATGAACTTTCATGATAAAACAATGGAATATTTTAGAAACGTTCAGTGGTCAGACTGTTGGATTTTGAAATCCACTCTTTCCATAAAAATTGTTATATCTAAGAAAGTTTGAATTCCTGTATGTACTGTTGTGACATTTTTTTTTGGGGGGGGGGACTTCAACTCGGCCAACTTCCCCAATTGCCAATTACTGGATGCGCTTTAGCGGTTTTATTATGTATTGCAGGCAAACAAATGCCACACACGACATTATTATAATGTCAACAGTGCAGGCATTAGAAATCACTTCAAAGCTGACAGAAACAGAGTGTGTTTGCCCAATAGTTCTGACGAACCCAAGCTGTGGTTGCAAACGTAGTCAATATTGCAAACGATGAATTTGGATAGAAGCCAACATCGATTCATCTTCGGTGCATCACCAACAAGAATTCGTAAATCTCATACCTCCATGAAATATTTGAGCTTTTGTAAATGTTTTTTATTTGTCTCATTGACTGTGGAAATAATGTCGTAATTAGCATAATCTAGTTTAATTTATTGTTTTATAAATTCAAATGACAATATTTTCGTGTAAAATTCTTCTCCTTTGTCATGCTCCATTTCAACATGTCCTCATTGATTATGTAAATGACCTCTACATTAAAACATAATATATGCATAGTAGTGTTACCCTTTAAGTAATTTACACGTCACAAGGTAAAAATTCCGATCATTCACCAATAAGGAGTCACAAAATGTTCAGAAACACAAACACACACACAGACAGACAGACACACACACACAGACACACACACAGACACGCCAAAAACAATACCTCCATTTTTCATGGAGGTAACAACAAGACCGGGCGGGAGGCGGGCTGAAATGGGCAACAGAAAAGCACCCTCTTCATATATTTGGATATTGACATAATTTTTCTGACCCAAACTTCAACAACACTAAGTAGAGATGTAATATCTGTGTCCATAATATCACCAGGGTCCATAATATCGCCACCTTGAGAAAAAGTGTGCTTAAAGATATTTTTACTGCAACATACCCTAGGTATGTACATTTGATGTGGGAAGGAGTGCATACCAAAAGTATGTTGCAGTAAAAATATCTTTAAGCACACTGTTGTTTCTCAAGGTGGTGATATTATGGACCCTGATGATATTATGGACACAGATGTTAATAAGGGGTGACATTCCAACCCATTTAATTTGCGAAATGGTTATTTTGTATTGGTGATTCTCTTCAAAGAATCGTTCATATCCGTTAATACGATACTTTTCACTTAAAAAAATAAACAAAAGTTCCACAACCTCATACCTTCGCAAAATGATGTTAACCCCTCCAGTGGACGAATTATACATTTTTACACATTGATTTCGCGCATAAGAGCCTCATTAGCATGGATTATATCAGTTGGTCATATTCTCCACCCAATTACAGCCTTATCTTAACAAAAAGGGCAATTTAGCCCTTCCTCATAAATTATGTAAATGATGTTACGATTTGAATAAATTATGTTTATTGATGTTCACCTTTACTTAACTTGCGGCAAGTATGAAATACCCAGCAGTCACTTTTATAAGATTCTAACAACTCGCCGTTAATTATGCAAATTAGGTCTTCATTTACGTAATTTATATCTTCAGATGTTCCTCTCGTTCTCAATTACATATGTCACAAGTGTTTCAAAGTCCTATTATCGAACGAAAAGATTTATATAACTTCCTCATTAATTATGCAAATTAGCTCCTGATTTGCATGATTATCATCTAGTTAAGCATCACTTCAGCTACCTACATACCAAAAATCACGACAATCCGTCAACCGGTTCTTGAGTAATTCTCAATCAAAGATTTTTCAACAAAGTTGATAGTTACAGAACAAGTCGCTAGGGGCCCCAAACTTATGTAATTTGTTTCCTATCCCAGGAGCTATCTACCATTAAAGATTCGTGACGCTAGCATGTCCAGATCATGAGTTATAGAAACTGGAGGTTTTGCTACAGTACCAAGGAAAGCCGCCAGGGGGCCCAAAATCTAATCATTTTTAGGTCTCACCAAGACCTACCCACCACAATGACAATGCATATGAAGCTTCTTGAGTTATGCTGTTCACAGACAGACAGACAGACAGACAGACAGACAGACAGACGGGCAGACGGACAGACGCTACTGAAAACATAACCTTCTCGGCAAAGTTTATCGCTATCGATATAAAGACTTCCCATTTGGGAAGGTTAAGTGCAAATATTAGGCGGGGGGAAATATTAGGTTAGGGATCACTGGTCAGTGCCCCCGCACCACAAAGACTTCTTATCCAGAATTGCGAGTTGTTTTAAGGTTATCCATTTACGATGACCGAACCCCTGAACTCGCAATGTTCTACTGTTATTCCTGTTATTCTCCTATCCTCCCATAACTACTTGGTACGACTTGTCAAAATGGAACAAATCTGTGGTATAGTTTACAGGCAGTGAAGTTTGCTATGAGTTCAATATAATATCGAATTCTTATTTTCAAAACAGTAAAAGTACGATAGTAAACTGAAGCCCGTCACTTTAGATCGTAATTCTCTTTTGTCCATTGTAGACAACATATTGTTGCTCAAAAGATCATTGCCAAAGTCACACAACGTAGAGCTTGACGTGTACTCAATACATCTCTTTTATGGCGTCTTTTTACGAGTTTCCACTGGAAACATGGTACAGGCAAAAAATCGTAAGGCTATGAAGGCCTTGGCACGTTAAAAGGTATAGAACAATCTTTATGGCAAATAATAGCGCCCACTCAAGTCGGTAAAATTCAAGGTTTACTGGCCCAACGGTCTGACAGGGGACACTTTGATTCGAAGGTCATGTCTCGATGAAGTAACTTTGTTTGTTTATCTTAATTGAAGTTGTCTTATTTTTTGTCGCAGCATCCAGACACCACCACCCCCCCTCCCAACACACATACACACGCACGCCTCGAAAGGGACCACCGAACGATCTTTCCAGTGGGATCTCTGGGGAAACCATATGGAAAACAGCCACTTTAAAACATATTTTACCTTTCTTTCAAATCTCAAGTCCTCACCCCAAAGCTGTCACACATTTTGGACAAATTAAAAATATATACATCTTCTATCGACTTTGCAGAAAACCGGGTCTTTCTGAGCAAACTTAGGCCATGTTGATTTGATTATATTGGTGACATCCTCTGAGAAACCCAAAACTGACGAGCGTTAGAATAAAAAAAGTATTGTAAAAGAAAGTTGCTTTCATTATAAAATCTGCGTGGTCATGAAGCTTGAACAAATGACAAATAAGTATGGTATGGCGAATAATCTACTCTTCCAATTCATTTGTTTACATTTTTGTTTATCTTTTTTTCTTTGATTTTGGCATTCTACGACATTGGTATCGTTTTCCAATATTTCTTGTCACTTACGGTATATATTTGCTGTTTTGTACGATTTATACTATGGCTGAAAACTTGTTTTTTTTGCATGGAAACGGCCGAAAATTCATGCGCGCGCGGGTGTTATCCATATAATGAAATCAATATGGCCTTAGCCCAGGAAAAAAGCCGACAGAAACAACACAAAAATGTAGGCGTACCAAGTCCCCATTTCTGGTGCAGTGACCGGTCCCTCCCACAAAGCTGTGTTGTGTACTCACCGGGTACCGGTCCCTCCCACAAAGCTGTGTTGTGTACTCACCGGGTACCGGTCACCCCCACAAAGCTGTGTTGTGTACTCACCGGGTACCGGTCCCTCCCAGAAAGCTGTTGTGTACTCACCAGGTACCGGTCCCTCCCACAAAGCTGTTGTGTACTCACCGGGTACCGGTCCCTCCCACAAAGCTGTTGTGTACTCACCGGGTACCGGTCCCTCCCACAAAGTTGTGTTGTGTACTCACCGGGTACCGGTCCCTCCCACTATGCTGTGTTGTGTACTCACCGGGTACCGGTCCCTCCCACAAAGCTGTTGTGTAATCAGCGGGTACCGGTCACCCCCACAAAGCTGTGTTGTGTACTCACCGGGTACTTGCTAGATTCGGTGCCTAAGTCCATATGTCGGCAGTGTGTCGCACGCTCATCTGCGCATGCGTCCGATTACGTCAGTTGTACATCAATGCATGTCCGCTGTGTCTGTGGAGAGGCAGGGTTTATTCACTTTAGTCATCTGTCCCAAAATCTCGCTTTAGTCAAATGTGTTGGTTAAGTCAACAATAACCTGTCACACATTTTAAGATGCATAGTACACATAGTATACGGCACTTCAAATCTCATGTTCAAATCACTAAGTTATATGCATATGCGGAATTAGTTTGACTTGGCAATTTACAGGATGCTTTGACGTGTAGATCCTGACAAGTAGCTAAACACGAAGCGATAACTTTTATCATATTCTTACACCTCAAAGTTATCGTGCATTATCATTTACCTAAATGACGTTGACCAATGAGAAGACCCCATATATGAAATGATAGAATAGTCTTCTTTGATAAAGTAAGCCTGTCATTGGGTGGAGAATTAGATAATATTTATGCAAATGGTTATCTTTTTTTTTTGCTGTGAAAACTTTGGAGACAGCATGCAGAGGCGTAGAGAGGTGTAATAAAGAAATTAATAATTCATCAGACGTCAGTTTGATATCATTGGGCGGAGGTATGTGATAGCGGAACTCTAGTTTCTCTCACTCAAGTATTACATTGAATCTGGTGTAAAAGAGACCGTTCTTTTGAATCATGATTTTAGCACTTTTATGAGCTGCAAGTGTAACGACTTAGCCTACACCACGCTTCGGAAGAGGCTGGAAAGAGCGTCTAAATAGACAGATAACATGCCAGGGGAGTTGGTCCATTGAAGATCACATTCGTTAAGCGGCAAATGTAGTGTATAATGGACCAGCTCTCCTGGCCTATTTTCCGTCCATCTGGCCTATTTCTACTCTTTGCAGCCGCTTGTGAAGCCTGGTAGAGGCTAGTAAAGACGTGTTTAGGACGTGTCTTACCTGTGAACGTGCCAGGCTGCCGCAGGGCGACTCGCTCTTCTGCTTGAAGTCATCCGAACCTTCTGACAGCGGAGCAACCTTTAATGGCTGACGACCAGAGTGCCTTCCCCAGAATCTAAAAAT